CAGTGCCATGTGATCTTTTTTCTTTGTTGTGATGTTTCCCTGGAGATCCTCACCAGAACCAGCTCCATGCTGTTCAGACTTTCAGTCTTCAAAATGGTGAGCTAAATAAAACTCTTGAAAAACAAATAAACAAACGCTCTCCAGGCATGGTGGCACACACCTCTAATTCTAGCACCTAGAGGGCAGAGGCAGGTGGATCTCTTTGAGTTTAAGGACAATCTGATCATGACAAATTCCAAGCCAGTGAGGCCTACATAGGGAGACCCTGTCTCAATTAATTAATTTTAAAATGCAATGAAAAGTTAATGGAGTAAGGTGATAGTCTGTAAGACACGTGTAAAAACTGAGTATTTTGGTCTCCAGGTAACTCCCTGGAGAGTATAAAAGTAAGCCTATTTTGAGGCCAAGCCTTTCTGCATAGTGAATATTTTAGGCATTGCATTTAAGTTTATGAAAAAATAAAGTCACAATTCTAGTGATGCTAATTTAGATTTGTATACATCTTTTGTGTGTGATGTTGAAGATTTATAAGAGAACTTGGTAAGTTTCTACCTTTATTCTAAATAGATCACACTGGGAAATGTAATAATATTTTCTGTCTAAAAATATATTTTGTAGCTGGGCAGTGGTGGTGCACGCCTTTAATCCCAGCACTCGGGAGGCAGAGGCAGGCGGATCTCTGTGAGTTGGAGGACAGCCTGGTCTACAAAGCAAGTTCCAGGACAGCCAGGGCTATACAGAGAAACCCTGTCTCGAAAAACAAAACAAATAAAATAATAATAATACATTGTTGTTGGGGGTTTTTACTCTTTTGCGGGGAGGCCGCCACCCAGCTCCCAAATAAATCACACAGGGAGGCTTATTCTTAATTATGAATGCCCGGCCTTAGCTTGGCTTTTTTCTAGCCAGCTTTCCTTAACTTTAAATTATCCCGACTACCTTTTGCCTCTGGACTTTTCCATTTCTATTCCTAAATACCTTTCTTTGTTTCTTATTCTGTGGCTGGTTGTGTAGCTGGGTGGCTGGCCCCTGAAGTCCTCCTCTTCTGGCTGCTTATCTTAGATCTCTCCTCCCAGATTTCTCTATATATTCTCTCTGCCTGCCAGCCCCGCCCATCCTTTCTCCTGCCTCGCTATTGGCCGTTCAGCTCTTTATCAGACCATCAGGTGTTTTAGACAGGTACAGCAACACAGCTTCGCAGAGTTAAACAAATGCAACATAAACAAAAGTAACACTCCTTAAAATATTCTACTACAACACATTAAAAAAAAAACATTTTGTATAGTGGCCTAGAATGTGGCCAGGAAATCTATATAAAACAAAATTTTAAAAATAGGACATTTATTAATTTTATGAGCATACATAGGAAGAAAGACCAATTACTGATTATAAAGATTGTATATATAACTTTCAAGAGACCTTGTACACTTCATGTGCCATCCAATCCCTTTGAAGCCAGGTCTAAAAGCAAACACTACTAATGATGCCTCAAGTATTGAATTGAAACCACACAGATCATTCCATTATCTTCATTTGATTTTAATTATATTTTTGAACATGTTTTGCTGAAGAACGCTAAAATCCTGAGTTTTTTCCTTTTAAATCAGGTTGTATTATTTATAGTCATTACCGTGAGAATGTGTCCTCTCTGTCCTTCCCTTCCCCTCCATCATCCCTACAATGACTTGAGATTCTGAGGGGATGTTTTAAGTGTTAGTTTTTGTTGACAATCCAGGACAAAAATATTTTGAAAATTAGCATTTACATTTAGTCGTTTGGCAACTTTAAAATTGATAGTTCTTGCATATCTCCTCTGTGCAAAGAGCTAGGATGTATTGATGTTGAAAGACATATTTTTTTTAGTCATAGTGATAATTTATTTTAAGGAATTTTAATTTTCTCCAAATAATTGAGGGCATTAGTATAGCAAGACCAAGTTATTGAAAGTCTTTAAGGTTTTAAATTACATTTACTTATTGTATGTGTGACTCTGCGCACACACATGCGCATGGGGAGGTCAGAAGACAGCTCTGAGGAGTCCATTCTCTTTCCACTGCGTGGGTCCACGAGGATAAACACAGGTGTCAGGCTGACAAGTACCTTTGCCTGCTTACCTATTTGCTGGTCCCGTCACTCATCCTTCAGAGAGTTGAATTTACTAATCTGATTTCCAGATGACAAGGTTTTTTGTTTTAAATAGTCAAGGGTTCTCCCTGCTTCCTTCCCCCAAGTCGGCTTTTACTGCCAGCTTCCTGGTTCTGCTCTTGAATCAGCCCCTGCTGACTGTGTTTCTGGGGTTCTGGGGTTCTTTCCCAATCTTGGGTTATATGATAATAGGTTTGTGAACTTGAAGTGAAAATAGATTGTTCAGATGAAAGATTGGTTGGCAGTAGTTTGGGACAGTCCTAGAGGGTGGATGTGTTTGGTCTGGTCTTCAGGGACTGTTAAATGTGATCACTGAGTCATGCTTGGTGCTTCTTCTGTCCCCTGGCTAATCTTGGTTAAGCCCGAGGTTTGCCAGCTATGTGATACTCAAAAAGCAGAGCAGGCCTCAGCCCAGGAGGAGTTTGTTTATTTAAAGAAAAAAATGAAGTTCAGACATCCTTACAGTGTTGCATCTCATTTAGTCATGTTAAGAGTTAGTGTGCTCTTTTGATTCTTTCCAGTGGCCACGATGCCTAAAGATAACACGTAAATTTGAAGTAGTTGAACTTTCCCTGAACAGACTTGGAACTTTATAATCACAAACAGAAGTGCTTAAAGAAGCAGGAGGAAGGGAATGTCATTGCTCTTGGGAATTGTTCTAATGGTACTCATTTGGTTAAAATCTGAACTGCTCCTTGTGGAGTTTGGTACCGGGTATTTGGAAACAAAACAGTAAGAAAAACAGTGTGAGAGATACATCTTCACTACTTTTTTGAAGTTAGGAACATAAGAATCTTTTTTTAGGTTTTTTGGGACAGGGTTTCTCTGTGAACAGTCCTGGCTGTCCTGGAACTCATTTTGTAGACCAGGCTGGCCTTGTATTCACAGAGATTACCTGCCTCTGCCTCACCACTACAACCAGCCACAAATAGCATTTTGTCGGTTATCATTCAACTATAGCATGAGACGTAGGGAACTGCCAGAATTTGGGTTATTTTTGCAATCTGTAAGAGTGGCAGCTTTTCACTCCCTACAGAAGACTTGTATGCCTAATGGTTTCTGCAATACCTTAAAGAGCATGAATGTTTAATAAAAAGTACCTGCCCACCCCCTGCCTGGTACTTGGCAAAATCATATATTCAGCTCTTCTGCTTGGAATATTTACCAAAGGTGAAGTTGCTCAAGCTCCAAGGTGGCCTAGGCTTTTGTTCTAGTTCTGTGGTCGGGAATATGTCTTTGTTGTCTTTTACGGTTTTTGTGTATTGAGGAAAAGATGATGATGTAGTTGGCATTAGTGGCGTTTCTGTGGGAGAAATGGTGTTTGAGATTTAAGCATTTTGGCTTAGTGTTTCTATTGTTGTGAAGAGACACCACGTCCATGGCAACTCTTATAAAGGAAAACATTTAATAGAAGCTGGCTTACAGTTCAGAGGTTTAGTCCATTGTCATCATGGTGGGAAGCATGGGGGCATGCAGGCAGACATGGTGCTGGAGAGGTAGCTGGGAGTTCTACAGCTGGTTTGGTGGGCAGCAGGAAGAGAGAGTGATACTGGGCCTGACTTGAGCTTTTGAAACCTTAGAGCCTGCCTCCTGTGACACACTTCCTCCGACAATGCTACACCTACTCCAACAAAGCCATACCTCCAGTAATAATGCTACACCCACTCCTATGAGTCTGTGGGGGCCATTTTCTTTAAACATAATTTCTTTATTGGATCTTTAGGAATTTTACATCATGCACCCTAAATTCTGCTCACCTCCCAGTCCTTCCATATTCTCCACTCTCCCTTGCATTGCCCCCGCCAATGAAAATCAGTCAGTCAATCAATCAAAACCTCTTCCCTCCTCCATCATTCCTGCCTCTTCACCACCTCTTCATTTGCCCTGGTGGCATTGGGAGCTGCAGTGTGTCACACAGTGTACCCTTTTGTCCAATCAGCTTTATTTGCAAATGTTCAGTGCAGTGTGTCATTGGTCTGATTCAAGGCCTCTGGTTTCTGGTACACCATCATCACTCCTCACCAAAACTCCTCATGGAGATCCTACAGTTATTATTCCACAGGACCAGTCCCTTTATGAGCTCCAGAGGTCCTAGATGGGGTAGATGTTAGGCTTGGCCAACCCCAGTGGGCCTGGGTGGTTGTTGAGCTGGTCAGTCCAGGCCGCTGGGGCCACTTCTCACAGAAGAGGGTGGAGCTAGCTCCCCTGTGCCAACTTTCTCAGGGTCGGCTCTCCCCGGCCCATGATGAGGGGTGGGGCCAGCTATTCCAGGGCCCACAAAGAGCAGGGCTGGCTCAGCATGGTCCTGATTCCCTTGTGCATGGCTCGCATGGCCCTGTGGGGGCTGTTTTCATTCAAATCACCATATATTTCATCAGTTGGAGTTTATTCGTTCTTTGAGTAAACATGTATAGAGCACTCATTGGCACAATAGCCATTGTTTCAGGTGCCTAAAGTCAATAAATAAAATGGACAGAATCCCTTTCTTGGGTTTTCATTTTAGGTGTAATGGATAAATAAACAGTGAGTGGGCACTTGCTTCATGGGGTTCAAAACGTGCCATTTTATGGTTTCCTGTGTGTATCTTTTTTTGTTCCAGTTTATAAATCACAATCAAAATCTCTAAGGCCCAGCAGGAACAAAGGTGTTGAGGACTGAAACATTCTGGTCCTGTAGGACAGTATGTTTTTAAATCTTACATAACTCTTAGCCCTGCTAATGTTTTCTGTTAGGAGTTTGCTTAAGAACTTTATTAATAGTCCTTACTGGCCACGATAATGTAGTTAATTGTTCTTAAAGAGTTTATGGTTTTATAATACATGAATCACATTCTCAATTACTCTACTTTATTTCAGAAATGGCCATCAAGAAGTAAATGCCCAGATGTAACGGTGAGGAAATAATCCACGTGTCATGAAGTAAGATGCAACATAGCGTTCCTCCAGATTAGTAAGTGACCAAGTCTCTCTCTCTTTCATCCTAACAGTTCTCTACGCTTAATTAATTAATAAGAATGTGGGCAGTAAGAGTCCCACTAAATTTCTGTTTTTACTGTGTAGTACACATTCTAGCATATGGTTCTAGAAAATGTGCCTGCTATGTTTTCTTGGAAGAAACATATAGGTAGTATTATTGAATTACAGCTTTAGAAAATGTATTGAAGCCAGGCAGTGATGGTGTACGCCTTTGTTCCCAGCACTTGGGAGGCAGATGCAGGCAGATCTCTGTGAGTTCAAAGGAAGCCTGGTCTACAGAGTGAGTTCTGGGACAGTCAGGGCTACACAGAGAAACCCTGTCTCAAAAAAACAAATAAACAAACAAATAAATAAAATTTAAAAAATAAAAGAAAGGTTAAAATAATGGGACGCACTAGCTGAGGAAGAGAAGGGAAGAGCAGAGTACCAAGGCTATTATTTGGCCCCAGGGGCTTGTGACTCACAGCACAGGTGCTGGGGTCAGAAGCACATGCTCTCCTCAGGGGACAGGTGCTGGGGTCAGAAGCGCATGCTCTCCTCGGGGGACAGGTGCTGGGGTCAGAAGCGCATGCTCTCCTCAGAGGACAGGTGCTGAGGTCAGAAGCGCATGCTCTCTTCAGGGGACAGGTGCTGGGGTCAGAAGCGCATGCTCTCCTCGGGGGACAGGTGCTGGGGTCAGAAGCGCATGCTCTCCTTACCGGCGTCTCCTGCCCTGTCGTCCCTCCTGCTTCCAGGATATTAAGAAGGACTTAGGATGCACACAGCATGTTCACATCTTCAAGGCATTGAGAATGTACTTCGGTAGGAATTCAGAATCTTCTTTTTGTGCTTAAAGCAAAAGTAAAAATTTCAGAAGACTAATCGCACTAACCTTAAATCTGTCCTTCTTTGCCATTTTCTTTTGGAAAGTGAAATTTAAATCTTCTACATTAATGTAATGTACAGTTGATACATAATGATGATGGCTTATAGTGTATGATACTTTTAGGACTCCTAACTAGAGTGGTAAATTGTGTGTGTGTGTGTGTGTGTGTGTGTGTGTGTGTGTGTGTGTGTGTGTGTGAGAGAGAGAGAGAGAGAGAGAGAGAGAGACAGAGACAGAGACAGAGACAGAGACAGAGAGAGAGAGAGAGATTGATTTTAAATTTGTATTTATTTAATGATACTAGGGATTGAACCCAAGGCCTCCTATGTGGTAGGCATGCTCCTATTACTGAGCTCTGCCTAAATTCCAGTGTTTTTATTTTGCGTTTGTGTGTGTGCATGTGTGCAGGTGCATGTCTCTGTGTGTAGAGGCCAGAGGACAGCCTCAGCTCTCATTTCTCAGGCACCAACCACTTTTTTCTTTGGAGACAAGGTCTCTTACTTGCTTGGAACTTGCCAAATAGGTGAGGCTGGCTGGCCAGAGAGCCTTGGGGGTCTTGCCTGACTCCGTCTCCATAGCGCTAGGGTTACAAGCGCGGGTCACTCTACCCAGTTGTTTCTCATGTGGGTTCTAGGGATCCATCTCAGGTCCTCTGTTTGCATGACGGGCACTTCACTGACTGGACCTCCGCTCCAGCACCCGGTATTTTTATATTTAGTGTAGAAAAATTAGTACATTTTTCTTATGTCATATATACAGTATCACTCTGCTGTGTAGTTAAATGTAGTAAAGGGACAGTGGCAATCTTAAAAAATGGTTATACATTTTAAAAACTAGTTGAAATGTTAACTTTTACATAGTATATTTTGTTTAAATTTTTGTGAACCTATAAGAGGCCGAATGTCTGAACATTTCAGCATTTTACTTAAATTCAGGAATATTGATATGATAATAAAATCTTTAGTTCCATCATCACTAACTAGTTCATTTAAAGAACCATTCTATTTTTAATGTTTGTTGTACATATTATTTTGTTTATAACATAGGTTTCTAAAAAATATATAGTGTGGGGGGGGGGCGCGCACGCGCGCATGTGCACATGTTGTCTGTGTGTGAAAGTATGAGTATCTGTGTTTGTGGACTTGTATGCATGTGTGGAGGCCACAAGATGGCGTCCAGTATTCTCCTACTCTCTGCCTAATCCTTATTGATTGATTGATTGACTTTGTATATGTGTACGGGCTTGTGCACATGAGTATAGTGACCATAGAAGCCTCCAATCTCCGGAGTTAGAAGTGGTTGTGAGCCGCTTGATACAAGTGCTAGGAACCAAACTTGCTTAGAAGGCGCTAAAGGTACTTGTTAGGAGGGCAGGTTCTTAATCTGAAGTTAGGGTCCTAGAGGCTTAATTAGGGGTTAGGGAACCAATACACGGTGGGAAGGAATAGAGGAAGTATCTTTCTTCGTGCTGCTGTAATAACATACCACAGCCTGGCAGAAACTGATTTCTCACCATTGTGGCAGCCGAGAATTCTGAAATGAGTATGCCGCCAGGTCCTTGTCTGATGCTGCTTCCTGCAGAGAGGAGGGGCGCAGGGTCCTGTGATGGACGGGCTAGAAGAAGAAAGGCCAATATGAAGATTCTTGTGAGAGCCTTAATCCCTTTCACAGCAGGAGCTGCATGACCTAATCACCCCCGCCCTCCTATCAAGCTGGCCTTTGAATCTCTGGGCCTGAATTTTGTCCGGGTAGAATTCAGACTGTAGCTGGAAAGGAGGGAGTGCACATGTCTGTGAAAACAAAGCCAAGGTTGAAGCTTTCTGAAAGTAGGTTTTTGTTTTTTTAATGTCAATAATGAAGTATTTATAAAAGATTTGGTGAGGCCGGATGGTGGTGGCACACACCTTTAGTCCCAGCACTCAGAAAGCAGAGGCAGGCGGATCTCTATGAGTTCAAGGCCAGCCTAGTCTACAGAGCGAGTTCCAGGACAGACTCCAAAGCTACACACAAACCTTGTCTCAAAAAAACAAAACAACAACAACAACAAAAAACCAAAACAAAAAAGATTTGGTGAGAAGACTAGAAACTGTTGAAGCTGATAATGATTTTCACATTCCATAGATTGTCAAATATTGCACCACTCTTAAAAGGTACAACTCAGAACTGAACAAATAGCATAGTTTTTTTTTTAGTATCTTTTGTTTTTGAGTCTTTTATATATATGCATACTAATTTCATGATTCTCACCTGGCATACTGCATATGTAGAACACAGTAGTTCTAGTTTACAGATGGTAGCTGGATTTAGAAAGACGGATGTGGGGTCTTTCTACTTCCTGTCAGTTGATGCTCTGCTGCATGAGGAAGATAGAAGTGCCTAGGGCAAGTCTTTAGAGAAGGGTTTCTTTGTTGTTGTTGTTGACATTTGTGTGTGTGCGTGTGCGCGCGGTGTATGCACAGACTCCGTGGCGCACCGGTAGCTCGGTCAGAGGACAGCTTGGAAAGTTGGTTCTCTTCTTCCTCGAAATCAAGTGGTCAGGCTTGGTGGCAGGTCCCTGTACCCACTCAGCTATCTTGTCAGCCACCTAACAAGAACCTCATAGTCTGAAAGTTTAAAAGACATGTATACAGTTAAAAAAATATAGTCAGTGAATAATTTAGGTAGTAGTTATGTCATGTTTTTAAATTTTTTACTTTTAAAAAATTTGTTTAATCCCAGCACTCGGGAGGCAGAGCCAGGCGGATCTCTGTGAGTTCGAGGCCAGCCTGGTCTCCAAAGCGAGTTCCAGGAAAGGCGCAAAGCTACACAGAGAAACCCTGTCTCGAAAAACCAAAAAAAAAAAAAAAAAAAAAAAAAAAAAAAAATTGTGTGTATGAATGCTTTATCTACATGTGTGTCTGTGTACTGAGTGCCCATAGAGGCCTGAAGTGGGCATTGAATCTTCTGGAACTGGAATTATAGATAGTTGTGGGTCACCATGTGGGTACTGAAAATCAAACCTGAATCCTTTGGAAGAATGGCCAGTTCTCTTAACTGCTGAGTCATCTCTCCAGCCCCAGTTGATTTTATTATTATTATTTTTTTTTTTTGGTTTTTCGAGACAGGGTTTCTCCGTGTAGCTTTGCGCCTTTCCTGGGACTCACTTGGTAGCCCAGGCTGGCCTCGAACTCACAGAGATCCGCCTGGCTCTGCCTCCCGAGTGCTGGGATTAAAGGCGTGCGCCACCACCGCCCGGCTTATTTTTTATTTAGTATATTTATTTTTTGAGTTTCACTAAAGTAGCATTTATTAAATTAATAGGATCTACTGCTGCTATAGAAAAATATTTCATAAATGTTTCTAATTTATCACAAATATCACAGACTTTTAGTTTAGAGTATTCTGGTTTACTTTCTTTAGAGGTTAGATGTCTAGTTTTGTTGGGTAGGACATAAAATGCCTTTGTGGGTTATACTAATGAGCAATTTGAATATATTTCAGTGTCACAGTTTTCTCTATTTATTCAAAGTATGAAAATCACGTATTGGGTTATAGAACTGTCTCTTTTTTTCTGAAAGACTTGATTTGGTTCGGTCCCAGGTACAGCAGAGATATCAGATTGGTTTTGAGTAGTTCATGTTATCTGTGTTGGTCTAATAAGGTCTTCAGATATGCTTATTACTTGGTTTTAGTTGAGCATTTGGAAGGATTAAGAAATTGCCCATGTAGGTAGTAGAATAAAAATAGAGATTGATAGTCCATTAATTAGGTCATTTGGAACTTGAAGTTTAGCAATTTGGTGGTGCTGGAGATCCACCCCAGAGTCCCTCGCTTGTAGGAAAGTGCTTCTGCAAGCTTGGTGTCTGAGCGTCAGAGCTGGGCTAGGATAATGAAAAGTGAGGGCTGTCTGACTCAGATCTTCTGTCCTTGTGTATCAAGGCCTCGTGTGTTACAGTGAAATTTAACCGAAGCTGGACTTTATTCTTGAAATTCAAAAGTTTTACATTGTAACAAGAGTACAATTGTTTTATAACTTTTCTGTTTCGTGTTCCACTCATAGAGTCCCATATGATTTAGCTGGATTTTGCTGTTTTAGTTACTTGCTTTTAGATTTAAAAAACAAAAACAAA